TACACTCAGGGAATCATTTCTGTGGCTGTGCAGTTAAGTCATCTTTGTGTGATGGGATTATCTGTAGCTCTTGTGGTCCATGATGTCCTACGCTGCCTCCGCTTCTGCTTGTGATCTCATCAGACCCAAGCCATGGCCTCTTCCTTTTGGGTGCCAACCATTGCAGGCCTGGGCTCGTCATTGCCATGCTTGTCAGGGCCAGGCTGAGTTGGGTGATGTAGCCCCCAACAGCTCGTGGCTCCTGCTGCATTCAGGAAGAAGGCTAACAGGATATTCAGATGGAAAGCATGTTCTGGTGCTGCTGGTGCATCCCATGGTGATTTCTATGGGCTTGTTTTGGTAGCATATATGGGCAGGGCAATGGATTTGGCCACCTTGACTCTTTCAGTTCTTAGCCTTGGGAAAGCACTGCCTGTCCTTAGCACCAGTGCCTGCGCTGTGCAATGTTGTTTGCACTCATTGCTGCCAGAGGTTATGAATTCAATTACAAGGAGAAATGTCGTACTATGAGCTGTTCATTATTCCCTTTAATTATGGCTGGTATCAAAGGCAAAGGGCTCTGTAGTCTGTTGCCTCCTTTCTTTCAAGTCAGCGTTCTGCTAATTGTCATGATATAATCAAGGAAGAAATGTTGTTAGTGGTTTGTTGCTTATTTACTCGTTCCTTATATTACTTTCAAGATTTAATCATTATCTCACCTTGATTTAAAACAAAAATACTCCTCTGACCCTGGTATGATATGGCACCTCTAAATCACAGAATTGCAGGGGTTGGAAGGGACCTCTGGAGAACATCTAGTCCTGCCCTCTGCTAAAGCAATTTCACAACAGTAGTTGCACAGGAAAATGTCCACAGGAAAGTGGGTCTGGAATATCTCCAGAAAAGGAGACTTCACAACCTTTCTGAGCAGCCTGTTCCGGTGCTCTGTCACCCTCAAAGTAAATAAGTTTTTCCTCATTTTTGTATGGAATTTTCTATGTTTCAGTTTGCCCCTTGTTCTGTGGCTGGGCACCTCTGAAAAGACCATTGCCGTTTAGGACCCTGCTCCCTCAACTCCTTCAGTTTAAAGCCCACCTCAGAAGGTTGGCCGGCCTGCTGCCAAAGATTGCCCTGTCTCTTCTAGACAGGTGAATCTCATCCCTACCTAATTTTATAATCTTCATAGAAAGTCCCATTGTCAAACTCAAAATCCATGTAATTTTCTAAATACAAGGGTATGTTTTTTGTCAGACATTTTCTCTTGCTTTTCTAGTAAGTCAGCCTAATTCAGGTGTAACTCTCAGGACATTTTAGTAAAAGTTTCTTTTTGTAGGAATGCATATTAATGTATTTTTTCTTTTTTGTTGTTGTTTTTTATAAGACTCAAGGTTATACGTTGTCCTACTTATTGTGTGCTGAAATATTGTACTACCACTGTTCAGTATTGTAGGAGACAGATATGAGATATTGTGTATTGAATGTTATTTTTAATTTCAGATTTGAATTGTTTGCTAAATGGTAAACTTGATGGTGAATAATGGAAAGAAATCTTTAGTGGTTGTAAAGAATATCTGTAGACACTCTCAGTACCCAAAATGATTTAATTACAGTTACCACTAGGAATAGGATATTTGTTTTAGATTACAGTAAGAATTAAATGGCAATCTCTAATGCTTCTGCTGGTACAATGTCAGCAGAAAATACTGAGCACCATGCAAAGGAAAATCCTCATGTGTGTGGTTTTGTTTCTTACTCATTTAAACAGTACAGTAACTTCCAGGGGAAAATAAGAAAAACATGCAACTATCTGGCAATGTTCTGGGGAGATATTTCTCATTCTCTCTTCTAGATGGAGATTAAAATAATCCATAACAAAAAAAAAAAAAAAAAAAAAGAAGTGTATTTCAGTCTTTCTCCTCCCCTTACTCCCCTGCTCAATTTTCTCTTTCCTGAGCAGAAAGTTACAGGTTCTGTTTTCACAACACTTTGTAAAGACTACTTGAAATATAAGGCACTTTTATTTTTCTTACTACCATTGAACATGAGGTGAGTGTGTTGTCTTAATCAGTTTCTGACTGGACATGCGCACACAGTGTTTTTAAAAATAATTCGTGGCTTATACCAACCATGGCAGTCTGCATCACTGAGATATAGACTGAGCCAAGTCTGTCTCCAGAGTTGAGTCCTTTAGTTTTATGTTTTTATGGGCTGTTGAAGCAGCCTGAAAAACCTCTGTTCCTGAACACAAGACTTAACCATGTCCTCACTGCCAGGACAAGAGCAGAATTCTGCTGTGGCTTACTCTATCAGTAGGCAGAAAAAATATAGGGCTCCCAAATAGGCATTAGATCCCAAATACCTGCTGAGAGGTGTTTTAGTTCTTACTGTAGTCACTATCCTAGTGGTGTATTTCTGAATGTTACCAGCTACAATTTCCACATTCTTTTCCGTGATAAAGCCTGTAAAAATAAACAAAACTGCTTCTTGGCTACTGCTAAAAGGTTTTTTTCTGTGTAATTACCATATGTGGCAGGTATCCCTTATGATTTAGCTCAAGGTGCCTGCAGTGCTTAGTGTTTGCTTCTGAAAGCTGTGTGCACTATGAAAATGTAAGTTAATTCAAAATTAATTACTTACCATATAAATTGATTGAAGCTTGATGTAATTCTCTGGGATCACACATTACATTTTGGCAAAAACCAAAGGAAAGGGCAAATGAAACATACAGCAAACTTGATCTGCTTCCAAATACATCTGTCTTTAGCAATGTTTAAAGTACAAGTTCTGTACGTGTGCAAATTCCTTTGGTAATTGATTATTTTGTTCACAGAGAATGTCTCTTTCTGTCAGCTTTTGCATGAAAGAGTGATAATATCCAGCGATCAGTATTAAAGCATCAGCTGGTTGACCAGCACCACAGTTCTCTAGCATGTTTGTATATGGTAGCAAAAGGAGAGGGGTTCCTCCAGGTGCTCTCTCCAACTGATGCTGCCTGTTGTCTGATTGACCCATAACTTTTTCCTCCCCTTTGATTCTGTGCAAATTACCTAAAGTCTTATTTTCATGAATAATACTTCTGAAGGAATTATTTCTCTTGTTTGAAAGTAGGTTAATTTGTTTAGAGTCTTATTTACGATTGCGAATCGTAAACACAGTTTAAAGTGGATGGTCCAGGAGCTAAGAAATAACTGGATATTGATATCTGGACTGTGATGTTCATTTTTCTTGACTGTGGAAACATAAACTCTAGTGCAGTTTTTGCAGTGAGGCTGTCCCCGTTTTTTTTTTTTTGTTTGTTTGTTGTGTGTGTGTGTGTCATGCCAGGTAGATCTTGCTTTACTAGACATGACAAATTTCACCTGCTAGTTTTTAAACTTTGGTTCTGTCAAGCAGCTTGAGCTCTGCTCAAAAGCACAGAAGGAAGCAGGTTATAATATCCAGGAATTATGTAAAGAACTTCTTGAATGCCTCCGTCATTCTTCTGACTTTGTTGAACTTCAAAGGTAGTTTCTTATGTGAAACACTTGGCTTGATACCAGCCATAACAAATACAGAATTGTGTTAGTATGTTCACATCAAACTTTTGCCAAGATCTGTCAAAACACCAGGTTGGCCTTCTGTATAGGCTTCATAATCGCTTTCAGGCACTTTCCTGGGTGTTTTCAGATCAGCATTAGCACGTGTTACAAAAAGTACAATCCAGAACGTGCTTCACGTCCTGTTACTCAGCATGAAGGGCACACATGCTGCTGTCTGAGCATTGTGGATATGGCAATACAGATAGTTAAATGTAGGCTGTCCTGGTGTCCTGGTGAGTATTTTGTTAGTGTTGGCCATGAGGTCTATATCAGGTAGTATAAGAGAAGGAGAGAGAGATGGTAATTACTGAGTGAGATGAACATTGAGCTTGTATATTTCTCAGAATTTAGTAGGAGAATAGAAAAAGTAATTTTCTGTAGCCAACAGTGAAGTATCTGTATTTCTGTGACCAGTGGAGAAGCAGAAAGCAACCGTATATGGTCTGAAATTCTCTGAAGAATGTGCAATAAATAGCTGAGAAGAACACTCTACAGGGTCTCATGAGCACGGCACTTCAAGAGGAAAAGAGATCTATTTCCAGCTTAAGGAACAGTTAGCACTACAGGGCTTGTTTATTTAGCGTGGAGAAAAGACTAAGAGAAGTTCTTAAAATAATAAATTCTCTCTGTGTAGAATGGTGTAACAGTAAAATTGTGGTCATGAGCTAGGGACATTAGATTGAGAAATGGTACTTGTTCTGGTGTGGTTTGGTGGCTTTTTTGCTTTACTATTGAATGCTCTTGTGTGTGCTGACTCAGTTGCACGAGGCACTTGGAGGCCCAGCAGAAGCATGTGCCAGCACCCAGCTTGGCTTGTGGAGCTAGAAAGGGGTGGACGCCATATCATAGACACTTTATGAAAGCTATTTGAAACCATCTACCTCATGAAAGGTCAGTGGGCATGGGAAGCAACACCACAGTGCAGGGGACTGAGGCATGGTGCTGGCTCTGTTGAGCAGTTCCTCAGAACTCAGCTGCGGAACTGCAGATTGCCAATCTGCTCCCTTTTCATGGCCATGAAAATCTGAGGCTTTGGAGGATGAGCAAAGAGAAGGGAGATGAAGCCCTTTTTGCTTGCTTGTCTTGTGTGCTGTGTGTGGTCATCATGAACAGGCCATCATCCATCCTTGGCTGTGTCTCTCTGAGGACAATTCAGATTTCTCTTCCTGTTGCTTTCTAGAAATAATATCCAAGAAGATAATAACTGATGATGGGAAATTGCCATTTTCCTGGGCTTAAACCAGTCCTGCTGAATTCCTGTTGCATTAGTTGCAATTGCTAAAAGAATATACCCCATTGCAGCTGTTGTAGTTGTGAGTGGGTGCTTTCAAAATTTTCCCTGTGTATTTCTTTTCCTTTTTTAATTATTTAGACAAAAATAGTCAGTGTTGTTTCAGTAAGAATGTCTCTGTCAGTAACTTTAAATTTATTTTTCAAATCTAGATCATCGACAAGGAGATTAACCCCTTTGTGGACAAATGGGAAGAAGAAGGACAGTTCCCAGCACATAAAGTGTTTAAAACCCTGGGCCAAGCTGGATTCCTTGGTGTGGATAAGCCAACAGGTAGGAGAGTGTGCAGCTCCTGATTATTGATGGAGACAGTGAACCATACCATTTCATATAGCATTTGCCCCAGATCAAAACCTGCTTCTGAATTCAGTGTGAAGATAACTTTTATTCCTGAGTCATAGGCATGCTGCCTACCAGCTGTGCAGGTATAGAAGATGATGGTGTTTCTAAGTGATCAAGTTGATATTCTCCTAAATATAAATGTAAAAAAAATTAGTGATTGTCATTTTAAAGCCAGTGAAATAAATGTCACTTCAATTCTCAATGTACAGGCCATCTAGTGACTTTTCTTTCTTCTGGATCTGGTCACCATTAAGGAAATCACAGTTTGAATGCATTGAAAGCACTGTAAGATTTGGCCTGTTATAGGTATTTAACCTGTACCTCTGCAGCACTGTAATGCACTGTGTCTCATCATTTGGAGGGGATGCCTGTGTGGGCTTTGGGCCACTGTATTCTAGACTGTCCTTGAACTATTCTGACACTATTCGAGCCAGAAACATGTGCAGAACAAATCATCAACAAAACAATCAGGTTCATGTTTGTTTTCGTGTATTTGTGAGAAAACATCTAGAAGCCCAGAGGTGTAGGAGGTATTTCAACTCTTCAGCTAAAATGCGTGTTCCAAGTATTTTTCATTTGCATTCAATGTAATAGATACTTCTTTTTAAATACTACTGTTACGTATTCCTGTCAGAATTCTGTTTTTTTTTTCTCCCATTTTCTTATTCATGGTTTAAAAGTATAAAACAAAAGCAAGTTTGCATAGGCAAACATTGAGCAATCTTATCAAATTCAAAGCAACCTGAAGTGACGTTTGAACAGTTAACTGCAAATAATCATCTATATAGAACAGCTCACACAACCTTAGCTATGCCACACCACATCTTTATGTTGCTAAGGGACAGGGTTTGAACTGTATCTTTTTACCAGTTATTTTCAGAGGAAAGTTTTCTTCTTGAAATGAACTTTCATATTTTTCTACGTTCCCACTTGGAAGATTTTCCTTCAGCTAGGGCTTGCAGAACTGGTTAGCTGTCGTTTTCTGACAAATCCAATTAGATCTGAGCTGGTATTTCTTTACAGAACTGCTGACGGATTGAGATTACACTTAAGATTTGCTTAAAGGACAAAAAGGATTATTGGAGGAATGAGGAAAAAAAACAGCACCTCCACTTTCTGCCATAACTGTTTGATAGGCAGATCTGAAGTATGTCATGGCGTAGTCTACTTCAGATGGCTAACGCTCGTGTTAATTGTAGTAATGGTGCCTTTCACTGCTTCCATATTATAGCTCTGACTTTGTTGTATACATTTTAGGATGTGCAGAGGCCTGCACTGGGGTAAGGAACCTCAGTGCCAAGCATGCCATGCATGAATATTGTGGAGCTGGGAACTTTGTATAATACTCACAAAGTAGTTAGAAAAAGAGATGAATGAAATATAGAGAAGAATGGGCTTGGAGAGGCAAAGATGGGTGCAGAAAGCTGCATGCACTGACTGCACTTGCTGTACTTGTAGTTAAGAGTATTTTATCCTTGGCTTTGACACTTACATCTATCTAGCTGTTAGTCTAATTTGTTGGAGCTCTGCACTCTGCAGTTGCATTTTACAAAAGCTTTAAAGAACTGGAAAAATTCCTCAGTGCTACTTTGTCACTCTCATCTGATTTTCTGGAGCAAGATGTTAGCTACAGAAAAAGTAACAGCTCCTGCAAGATTTCTTTACCATTGTAATGATACAATAACATCAGGCAAATTCTGAAATTATGGAATGGGATGATCAGTGAAACAGTCCGATGGGTAACATCATGCTCTCAACAGAACTTATTTTGGGCAATTAAAATTTTTTTTATCTCTTTTTTTTTTTTTTTTTTTTTGTTTAGAGTACTTATGCTTGCTGTGTAACCAGTGTGTACTGGTAGCAGTAATTAAAATTAAAAAAAAAAAAAAAAAAAAAGATGAGAGCTGTACCTTTTAGACTCTGCCCAGCCACTTCTATTATTTAACTGCTGTGTACCAAGGAAGAGGTACTTGAAGATCTGAAGAGAAATGAGGAAGTCAAGAGCAGCCAGAAGTTTGGGGGGTGTTGGGAGAGGTCTGGAGAGGAGAGGTTGATTAGTTTGATTGGTTGGAGAGCATTTGAGACGTGGAGCCGTGTGAGTAGGAATCTGCCCTACTTTCCTTTTCCAGAACAGACCAAAATTACAATTTTCCTTTTATTCCTCCAAACCTGAATCATAAAGCATTTGTAAAGAACACCAATTTTTTTTTTTTTTTTTTCTCAAAAGAATTGATTCTAGCAGCTGCAGTTTTGAAATAAAAGTTTTTCTGATTTTATTTTCCAAGGTCATTCTGTTGAGTATTTTTTTTTTCCCCTCAGTAGAATTAATTTTGAAGCTTTCTGATTGGGCAAAAGCAATTCACAAACTTGTTTTAAACTTGTTTTGCTTTGATAGAAGGAAACATCTGCTGGACTTCCCGTTTGCTGAAACTGGACTTCTTCCTGTGTAAACACTGTTCCATTTGTGAACAATGAGCTGCTAGATGGGAGACAGGCCTTTCCCTTTTTTTTTTTAAGGGAACATGCCCTAAATGTGTCACTTATCACTGGAAACTTTCTCTGTATGAAGAACTGATTTGGGGCACTGTTTGCATTGCAAAGGTTCCACCAATTCTCACCATCTGCAGTTGTGGGCTACAAACTTGTCAATATTTTTTCTGGATGCTTTTTTTGCAGTTGTTTATGCTTGTAGTGATATTTGCTGCAGTACAATAGTTCAAGATGTTAGTTGTAGGGGTTATGTAAACACTGGGCAAGGCCAAGCCATACACATGTATAATTGGAGAATGCTGAGGATGATCAGTGCATTTAACCTACTGTGCTCTCTGGTCAGTCCTCTGCCAGGGAATGATGTTTTTCTTTAAATCATTTTTCTGCTCTGCTATTCCTTGAGGGTGGGGAGAAGGGGAGGGAGTGTGTGTTGTTCTCTTTTATTAGGAAATTCTTTCTATTGGTAAAATAAATGGTGAAAAAGTAAATGTTAATTGTGAATAAAAGGTATCATTTTGCTATGTGCAATATGTGTTTTACAGAATCACTCCATTCAGCCTGAAGTATTTAGTTTGAGGGGAAAAAAGATAGCATCTCCAAATACTTATTACACTTCATTTATGTTTACTGTGTGTTTCTCCTCAAATTATAAAGTTTCTGGGCTTTTGAGGTATTGACAGTCCCAAAACTAAAGACATAAAATATTAGGGTAGACAGCAAAAATATTTTAAACAGCCTTGATAATTGGCCATTGGAGATTCCATAAGGGAAGTGGGCAAGACATATTTTTTTTGGAGCATTTTATGTGCAGATTAGATGAGATATTGGAGTAAAAGCTGAAAACATCCATGTGGTCTTTTATGATCTTATGGTTTGTAAATCAAAGCCTTGGCTGTTAGTAAATTTTAGGATGTGTTGCCAAAGACACAGGCCCCAAATATGCTGTTAGATGCCTGTAAAGCTCTGCATGCCAATGCAGATGACTGAAGCTTGTTTTTATCTGATGATGAAGTACAGGAATCCTACTGTAAAGGCTCAGGGAAAGCAAAGGGGAGGAAAAAAGGCTTGCAGGAGGACTGCGTCTTCTGTTGTGTGTCTGCATATAGCAGTGCTGTGAGACATGAGCAATAACATTGCCTGCGCTGGGTATTTCTCTAGCAGTTCTCTAGCAGTTTCACTGGCAGTCCTGTAGGAATTCTGAACAGAATGCATTTACATGCACTAATGATTATGATGGTATGTCCAGACAGTAGCTTTAATTTAATCCTGTCAAACAGTTTGCAGTGCTCTTGCAGAAATACGTTCCTAAACACATGAGGAGAATCAGGAGAGTGTGTTGTAAGGCTTCCCATACATGGGAAAAGATAGATTTACATTATCTCCTTCCCATAGCACTGGGATGTATGCCAGATTTCGGACTGGATAAAGTAATAAGCAGTGTGTTCTTGTCACCTGAAACAGATGAGCATCTGATGCAACAAAACAAGCTTCAAATGATGGATTGCAGTGCAGTTGGAAAAGCCTGCTTTTTGTATGTGCCTGTGTACTGAATGTGAGAATACAAACCTGCACCATCCTTTGAAGTTAGTTCTGTTGTTTTCTTCACAGATTATGTTTTTCTTGTAAGAGGAGACCTTGTGAGCGCTTGGTACTGGGAAGACACTTTTAAAGTGTGCGTGGGGGGCTGTCTCTTTCTTTCCTTTCTGTAATACTAAGCCTTATTGTTTGGAATTAACAAAAGGACATTGGAGAATTCTGCCACTACAAAGGGATTTTTTCTATGGTATGGATGAAGTGGAGTTGTGTGGTTTTCAGTGACTAACTGTAACAAACTTTTTAAGGTGTACCTATGGATTGAAATGAAAAGGGATATAGTTGCCAATAGAGAATTCATTTGCCTCCCAACATTCTGTATGTCAGGAGTGGACCGAATACAGTTCTTTTGAGTTTAAGCATAGCCAGCTGTGCTCCAGATGTTTGGGAGGAGGGCATTGTGCTGTGTATTAAGTTACCAGTGAACAATAAATCAGCAGTTAGGAGGTGCACTTGTTTTACAATCAAGAGATAGCCTTGAAATAGCCTTTGAAGAACAATAAGCCCCAACTAGTCATTGCTTTATTTGAAGTGAATTGCTGACAAAATTCGTGATGGATGGCAGTGGTGTGGACATCTCAGTCAAACAAATTAAGAAATTTTAGGTGATTGTCTGACCTTCTTAATGCCAAGGAAAAGATTATTATGTGTATATATGGAAGTTCCGTGTGGGTGATTCTTTTCTCTCTTGTGAAATGGGGAAGTGCAGAATGAAATTTCTGCTCCTGGTCAGACAAGGAAATGGATGCTTGAGGTTTGGGGTTTGGTTTTTTTTTTTTTGTTTTTTTTTTTGATGCTCCACATGATTGGGAAGCATGGGTGCTTCATTCTTTATGTCTGGTTAGGAA